CTGAAAAGGTGGTGTCTATTTACTTGTGACCACGCTGTGTATAATATTAGATAACTTGTGTATGTCATCTATACCTAAGATACCGATACTTGAGCCAAGATCTGTTATGAATCTCGCAGTATCATGATTTTACCAAGAATTATGTATAATTGATATTCTCCACGTACATGAAGTTTATCATCATTTACTAAGAAATGGCTCACAGACACACCCCCAATGAAAGAATAGACCATTCCAAGTTTTTACTTGTTGTTGAACAAATGTTTAAACAACTCTTTTCAAATATGTACCAGCTGCTTAGTGTCGGCTAATAATATGAAAAATTAAATTGTGGCGGAATGCTACAAGTTCTTCAAATACCTATAAAATGATAGGTTTCTTTTTGTGAGTGTAAAACACTTAAATACACCAATTTAATTTATTATTGTTTTATAATGCTGATTTAATCGCCTATAAACAATTGATGTCATCAATAGTTTGCAAGCTATATATATATATCAGAAATTTTAACTTTCAATAACGTTAATTTCAATCCACGACATCTGTTTCAACAACTGGAAGTACACACTGCAGTAAAAATTAGTGCTGAAAAAATATATGATAAATACATGAAAAATAAAAACTGAGATTTATCATTTCATTAAATGTTTCATTCATTGCCTGTGAATATTGTGAAAATGTTCGAAAACATGAGTTCGTAATTATAATTGTGCTGACTTGGTTAAAAATAAACATGGCAATTGAATCCCAGTTGATTTTAACTCGTAATACTTTCAATGTAACAAGAATGTGCTTAGCATGGCAAATAAAGTTCCCAGACTAACAAACTTCTTTTATCAATTTTAATGAGTATTTTAACACACTGACAAAGTTTAGAAAAAATGAGAAAAAATACAAGACTTCTTTTTTTCTGATATTTATATTTATTCATAGTCATTTCTATTTAGCCAGTGTACATCTGTACACACACACACACATGTAGCAAAAAATATATGAAATAGGGAGAAGATGTATTACATACCTGTAATACACTGTAAATAATATCTGGGTATGAAAAAATAAAAATCTATAAAGGATAAGTTCAGTTAGTTTATAGTGTCCAGGTCTGCTCTAATATTGCAGTTTGAATAAACGTTATGCATACACTTGTACAGTCTTGTGGGTATGACCCCATGGGTATATATAGTACTTCATGCAATGCCTAGAAAGACAGTCCCTTGTACACTTTTCAATAACTTCAACATTTAATTTTCTAGGCAGATGTATTTAAAAACATAGGCAAAATACACTGTAGAAACCAAGTTCTGATTTCAGAATTGCAAGACAGATTTTGCACTTCTACGAGTACACCCTTTCATCTTCAAACCTGACACTTGAGTAAATGAAGATTTCATGAGGAACAGACATTAACTTCACTGATGATAAACATTGAAAGTGTTGTTAATGCAACAGAAAAGTAACACATATTAAGTAGATATAACCATATGTATGGCATTAGATTAAAAATCCTATATAGTTATTAAATTGAAAATAAATATTTAGAACCAAAAAAAAATATGTTTATAAGAACCCCTATGTTTATATTTATTTATCAACTCTTTTCTGTCAATATCTTAATAATAAATGTTAGGATCTTATTAAAGATAATGATTTCCATCTGGAATTCAACATAATTCCTTTTTTTTTTTATTTACTTATGAATTAATTTATGTCGTTTTAAATTTCCATTATCTCCAAATCTCTTCCCACAAATATCACAGACGAATGGCTTTTCTCCACTGTGAATCATTTGATGTTTTGTTAAACCCCCTTTTTTTTTGAACCTCTTTTCACAAATGTCACAAGAAAAGTGACATTCATCAGAGTGGCTTAACTGATGCTGCCGTAAGTGACATTTTCGCTTAAAGCTCTTTTCACACAGATCACACTTAAACAATCTTTCATCATTATGAACCAAGTAATGCTTTTTTAGGTTAAACTTCCAACGGAAACTTCTACCACAGATTTTACATCTGTGTGGTACTTCTCCAGTATGGACAAAATAATGGCTTTTCAAGTCTCTATTTCGCTTAAATGTTTCATCACACTTATCACAACTAAATGGTTTTTCTTCAGTATGAAGAAACAAATGCTTCTGTATGGCATATATTGATGCAAAACCTTTCCCACACACATCACACAAGAAGTTTTTCTTTATGGAGTGAGTGGATAGATGGCACTTTAACTGCTCATGTTTCATAAATCTTTTTCCACAAATATCACAACCAAATGGTCTTACATCAGTGTGGATCATCCGGTGATCCCTTAAGTATTGATAACACAAGAAGCTCTTACCACATACATTACAACGATATATTTTCCTACAAGTGTGAGTCAGACGATGCGTATCTAAGTATTCATTTTCTAAGAATGTTTTACCACAGACATTGCAACGGAATGATTCTGCAATAGTATGTAAATACTGATGCTGTTTTAGATTTGCTTCCTGTAAAAACACTTTACCGCATTCACAAACGAATGTTTTTTCTCCACTGTGAAGAAGTAAATGTTCATTTAGTTGCCTTTTTTCTGCAAATTTTTTATTGCAGACAGTTAACTGTTCTCTACTATGGAGCAACTGATGCTTTTTAAAATTTTTCTTACGTGTGAACATTGCTCCACAAATTCTGCATCTGAGCTTTTCCATCCTTGTATGATTGATTTTTCGATACTGCAATTTTCTTTTCTGTCCAACTTTTTTCCCCTTCATATCAGACGCGATTAATTTTCCTTCCATATTGATGTTTTCATTCTCTTCCAAGTCTTCACAGTCTGTTGAACATGTGCTATATACATCATGTTTATGCATTTGTTTCTCTGATATAAGGCTGGTTTTTGTAGTCGTAGAAGAGCTAAGGAGTTGGTACTGTTCCCTGCTACTTCCAGTAGATACTTTTTCATGCTCTGTAAGAAAATATTATACCAAAGATAAATGAAACCAAAATATTTTACCAAATAAATTTAAACAAAATAAGCTACAATTCAGAATACAAATATATTTAACTGTCATCATGAAATCTGATATAAAATTTTATAGATTCAATCAATTTAATGATTTTATTGAAAGTTTATAAATGATTCACCTACAAATATGACTAAGAGATACATTTATTATAAATTCTACTACACTTACAACATGTAAATAAATAGCTCCTGTTGTAACACCTAATTTAAGTATGATGACATTTAATACACTTTAGAAAATTAACACAGGTAAATAAACATACAACACACATCATATTTTGACTTAAATTTCCAGTAGTAACATATCTAGAGTGGTTTCGACTAAAAGTTATTTACAGTGAGAATTTCTCACACTTCACACACACACAAATAGGAAAAAAAAGGGGATAATTTAGCTCATTAATTATAAGTTATCATTTTCCTAAAGTGAAAATGTATTTCCAAACATACTTACCTCTGCTGACACTAACAGCTATTTATTGATCTTCATCTTTGCCATCCAACGTTATGTTCTCTTGCTCCAGTCTTTACATACCCCACTCGACTGCCCTCGGCAATATCTAATTTGCAAAACTTTACACCGGCCCTCACACGCCCTCTATGCAGGTATACAAGCACTGTATGCAGACAATATAATCACTTTTTCTAGACTTACCACATTCCAGTCACTAACACCGGCTCTTAGTGGGGAGGAAGGAAAGGAGAGTGTCAGCGGAGGTAAGTCCGACGTAAAGTTTTGCAAATTAAATATTGCCAAGGGCAGTCGAGTAGAGTATATAAAGACTGGAGCAAGAGAACATAACGTTAGATGGCAAAGATGAAGATCAAGAAATAGCTATTAGTATCAATGGAAGTATGCATGTTTTGGAATAATTTTCAGATGCAAGACAATGCATGGACACCACACTCAATAACACTATCTTCATAAAAGCCACTGTAGACTTAGCAAGATTAACGACTATCTGGAGAATCTGGGTCACATCCAGATAGTTTTCAGATATAATATGTCCACATAACAAATTATAATATAATATGGTAATTAGATCCACATGTAAAACATTCTAAAATTCTATTTTTACCTCAGCAATACTGGTTAAACAAAATGTGAGAAAAAAAAGCTTTTAAAGTAACCCAAATGACATTAGAAAACACAAATACTAACTTAAGTAACCTTTCAACTGTTTTTAACAAAAACTAAGCCCAGAAATCTATTATTATAATAATAATAATAATACTCAGTTTTTGTCTGTTCTGAAAATGTGCACGCACTTTACTATCTAAATGCATGTGCACATGACAATGTGAAGTTTTAAGTAGTTTTTTAAAGGTTTCTTTTAAAATAAAGGACTTAAAACTTAATAAATGACATAAAACTTTGAATCATAACATACATTATAATGTTAATTTCATTCACATACATTGATATTAAAGGTGTTAAATTTTGAATGTGACACAGAGACTTGCACAGAAAAGGGTTTAAAAGAGTTACCTGAAACAAAAAGGGTAATCAAATTGTTCATTCTTTTCTGTTCAATTGGAAAAAAAACAACAAAAAAACTGCTAAACTTATGTTGGACAGCCAATATGTTTAGTGGGGTTGGGGCTTGTTCAGACCATACCTTGTGTCACCTTCTATACCATTAGATTTGACTGGCCAAACCCAGCTGTTTGAGATGGGCATTTGTGATAAGTAACTGTGCTCACCAACTCAGTCACTATGGGCCCCATGCCAGCTGTGGTGAGGGTACTGTACCAAATATACCTCCACTAGACCATCAGTCTTTACAGACCATGTTTCAGCTGTGCAAGTGTTTTTCTTTTGTAGTACAATGTAGAATGAGCCAGAAATAGTGTGTATACCTCGTCTCTACTGAACAGATTTGGGATTAGAAAGATAAAGCCATATATATAAAGGGTCAACATAGAGATATGTAACATCAATCTACTTATGGATTGTGATGCATCATAGTTATATGTATGTGCAGTGACCTGCACTACAGCCCAGCTCAACTTCTTAGTGCAGAGGGTCCCCTTGTTCTAGCCCTAGGAGTTAGGTCCCAATTGATAAGGATTCTCCATGGCCCACCAACCCAGTGGCTGGTAGCTAGCAAATGGCTAGTGTCTCTTGGGCTCCACTTGATCAGGAGAGGAGAATGTGCCCTTATCCCCATTGGTCCTTTGATCATGAAAGGTATTTTACTGGAGGCAGTGCAATGGATGAATGCAAAACTCAATTTTGAAAAGCTGGTAAGTGCTAGTCAGAGAAGTGAGCAAGTACATGACTGCAATGATGTTTTTTTCCATGATAGTCCATGAAATCGGTATGGTTTGGATCCTACATGAAATGTAATGCAGATATATACTGAAAGACCAAGAGGAGACCAAGTGTACTTACAGAACACCTATCTCACAGTGCGTATGTGTAGTGCCTAGAGCGGATGGTATAAGAACTTTCCTTTACCCTGGTCCAATGCAGATTTTGGCTAAGTATACCTGGGAGTTAATACTAGCCTGCAGTAAATAAGTACACTCACTGGTTTAAAGTTGAAAGGTGGATTGAAGGATGAATATGGGTAGAAGTCTAAATTCCTCCAGAGATGAGACAGCCAGGTAGCAGAGAAAGTGGTCAAGGAAAGTGTGTAGGGTAGTCCACAAGTCAGCCTGTAGAATCTCCTCTAGAGGACAGTGAGTATGGACTGCAACAGAAAATGTAAAGTGTCAATTTTGGTAAGAGGAGACACAAAAGAGCTGATAATCATCCACTTCCAGATGGAGGGGCTGGTGGATCCATCCAGTCAGAGTAGAGGAAGAATGGGCTCTAGTACAAAAAGGATCCCAAGAAATGAAAAGATGGTGATGGGAATTCTGAAAGGAGGAAGTGCATAATAGATAACAACAAACAGCCTGTATAAGATATAGGAGTCTGTCTGGGTAAGAATGATAATAGATATGTGATACAGAAGGAAAGGATATGGAATCAAGACTTCCACCTTCCCTAGCACTGAAAGTGTTGGGAAGGAAGGACCTGTCAGGGTAAAGAAGAAGATAAGTGCAGTGCTAGATAGTTTGAGAGGAATTTATGGCATAAATAGTCAGAACAATGGTGACCACAGGCGAGGAGAATGAAACAGATTTAATATAGAGATAATATAGGCAAAAGGGTCCTGGGTGAGTGTGTGTGTGTGTGTGTGTATGAAGAACAACCTTCAGGTCCCAGTTTGGCAATGGAGTAAGACAAGAGGGTCTACGAATTACAAAGCAACAGAAGAGGGGGCTATGGACAGGTGAAAAAAAGATCTGAATTATTGGGAAAGGTAGAATGTGGTAAAGATTGAAAAGCCACAGTTGAAGAGCCATGTGAAGAGGGTAGTAAGATTTTGTAAGGTAGGCTAGCCAGAGGGGGAATGGTGAAGTAAAGACCAATGGTGATAAGCCCACAATTTACACTAGTGCACAGAAAAGGTGGATGGGCAACAAGTGTGTAACAGAAAGAAAGTTGCATGATTGGATAGTCTGGCTGAGATTAACCAACATGTTCCACACATGAAGATGAAGTGATGTCACTCTCTGATAAAAGAGTGATAAGTGCAGTTGGACCAGAAGGGACAGAATGTGAGGAAGAGTACTTGATCAAGAGAAGATGAAATACTGGAAACCAAGGTTGGGCAGATAGTAAGGGGCAACCAACAGGACTCTGCAAGGGGTGTCCAAATCAGAGCAATGATGTGAGGAATGAGGTGGAGAGGTATAAGGAAGAGATGGGACCAGTTCTGACTGAGGGCACTGACAGCCAGGGATGATGGATGAAGTGCAGGATACCGAAAAGATAAGAAGTTTGGTATTGAGTGGTGTGGCAAAACCATCTATGATGGGAGTTCTGAGTTGGGAGCAGATTTATCAGAAGATTTGACGATCGAGGGACCATTCCATGAATAAGACATTGTCTCAATGAAAAAGAGTCTGCTATCATGTTCACTGCACCTGGAATATGACAGACTATTAAACTCACCCAGTTGGAATGGGCCCAAGAAAGGAGATCCAAAGTTTGAAAGCAGATGGTCCTTGAATGGGTACACCTTGGTGGTTGATATCAGGCATGACTATGGAGTTGTCTGAATGGATTCCTAAATGATCAACAAGAAGGGGAAGGAAATGAGAATATGACTGACAGACGGTGAGAAGGTTGAGGGTGTTGATATATAACAAACATTCCTCAAGGGATCATGAACCTGAAGTCAGGTAGTCATCAAGCAATGCTACCCAGAGAGAGAAGCATTTGCAAAGTGGTGAAGATCCAGTTTGGGAGGAATTCAGTGAATGCTGGGGGTGGTGTTGGAGCAGTCTAGCCACCAAGCAAGCTCCTCCAGTGGAGAAGGAGGGAGGAGGATTGCTGAGGAAAGTGGAACCCTGGAAATGTTACATTGGTTTTTCAACATCCACATGTGTGTGTGTGGGCAAGTGGAATGAGGGGTTCTAGAGAAGCTATAGTCCTCAAAAGAGATAGAATCTCTATCACTGATTGTAAAGCATGAGCTTTGGTGACCAGATCTCCAGGATCCCATAAGCAAACCAGAAAAGGTTAGGCAAGCTGAGGATAGAGTTCAAGAGAATTCCTAAGTGGATGAGATATTGAGTCGGGGTAATTAAGGATTTGAAAATATTGATAAGCCATTCTAAGCAAATGATTTGTGAAGATGAAAGGAAGTGTGTTCAGAGGAAGTTGCCTGGGAATGGGTGAGGAGCTAGTCATCCACATACAAATGAAATTGTAGACCTATACCACGAAGATGTTGATTAAAAACCTGCATAATTTAAATGAAAACACAAGGGGCTGGCACTATTCATAACAGGTGGGTATAGAACTGGAAATGTGATTCTGTGGATAAATCAGAGATGTTGTTGTGAGGATGGATGATCAGAATGTGGAGAAAGGCATTTGAAACAACAACTTTGTAAGTTGAAGGAAAGAAAGGTATCTAAGAAGGCTCAAAGATAAAGTCAGATTATTTGGGCACTAGATAGAGAAACAACCAATAATGAATCCATTCCCCAAACTGGAACGACAGACCCCGACGATGGTGTATCAAGTAATGGGAAGTCTGAGTGACCATAAGTAAGAACACAAAAATCAGACAGATGCAGGGGATGAGTGGCATGTACAGCAAAGTGTGGGGAGAGGGATAAACAAAGAAATCACAATGGGAAGAGTTGTATAAAAACAACAACAAGAGTCAAAGTATGTGGTAGAAAGAGAGAGAAAGAACTGTACATACCTGAGTAATAAAGTTTTAAAAATTCAAGGAAGACTGAGATTTTTCTTCAGTAAGTAAGGATGTTCCCAAAGCAAAACCTGGAGGCAGAAAAAAATTGTTCAAGTTTGTTCTCCTCAACTTCAGGTTTGAAGGAAAGGGGAAGGGAAATGAGTGGAAGGACTGAAGCAGAGGGTTCTGGCTGCATCATGGATACCAACACACATTGGAAAATGGCTGCCACATCTTTCACAGATAAAGAACTCCCCACAGAATTATTAGTAATTTGTTCAGTGTGAGTAATCTTTACTTACATTAGCAGAAGAAGAGTTCACATTAAACTGTGAATTCATATTGAGTATGTCTAAACTCAATTAAGTGCAAGTTGAAAATTGAAAAAGTGGCAAATTTCAGGAAGCTCAAACATGTATCGGTACACAACAGTGCGAAGAAAAAGAATAAGGATTCATGAGCAAGAATGTAGAGGGCATGATTACATCATCATGCAGTGGTGCAAAATCATTTCATTTCATGAGATTAGGTGGGAGTTTTCACAAGGCTGGGATCTTTGGAAGACTGTACAAACTTTACAGGACTATAAGCTATTCTGTGTATGGAGGCAAGTATTCATCTTAATGTATTATTTCAAGAACACTTTTTATGCACATCAGTCCCACCAAGTGGAATTTAAATTTTTAACAACCAATTTATGATGATAAAATCATAAATCTCAAAATAATGCTTTTTACATGTTGATTTTATTACAAGAGATTACCACTTTGTAATTGATAAACAATTGTGTTTAAGCAAAACTATACATTAGGTTATTTACTCTGTGTCCACTACAAGTACCAAACCCAACTTTTTAGCATTATAAGCCTGTGCATGATGAAAAAGTGTATGGTAAAATACGTAGAATAATTACTTCTTTGTATATTGAATTGGTATATGAATATCTAACAAAAAGAAAAGTAAAATTAAACAATTCTACAGATGAAATTAAACCTTTAATTTGAAAATGTCCATGATTCTAAGTTTGTTTTAAAGAATTGAGTCTTATAAGGCAGTAGAAAAACAACATGTTCTTAGTATTTTTCTAAATATCTAAAGTTCCCTTCCATAGCTCTTTATAATTGTTTTTGAGCTACAGAGTATGTAAATTTGTAACTTCCATAAATAAGCTCAAACAAGTATACTGAGAACTGCTGTACTGTGAATTCTGTTATCCATACAACATAAAAAAATGCTGGAGTCTGGATGGTGCATGTGGATCCATTACCGAAACTTAACTCAGTAAATAAGTATCATACTCACCAGACACTACTTCTTGTGCAAGTTCTATTTGATCTGATGCTTCTATTTTGTCTTGAGGATAATCTGACTTAAGAGGTTCAAACTCCTCTGTTTGTACAACACTTTCTTCCTTTTCAATTTTGTCAATAATTCTTTCTGAATTCCTCCAAACTTTGGAAACAGACTCATTTTCTTGTAAGTCAAAACATGGTTCTGTCTTCATGGAATGAAAGTTCTAAAATGAAAATAATATAATGTTTTTGTTCAAATTTTTATGAGAGAGTGAGAATTTTTTGGCAGGTGTTTACAAATATTTCTGATCCAAGTTCTTACTTTCAGATCTCATTTCTTCACAGAATACCCCAAAATAATTTTTAATATGACATTAGAAGTTGGAAATAGGTTCTGTAGATGAGCTGAAAAAAAGTGACTGTAGGACACTATTTAAATATCTGTACTTATAATCAATCAGCATGTGTTTTTATTTTATTTTTTATCACCCTTCACACCTGCATATTGTACAAAGTCAGCCTTTAGTTATCTTGTGCTTAAGGGTAGCTCTTACCTTTGAATGTAGTCAGTTTTCTAATTTTAAATATTTCAGCTGTATGTAAGCACATACTATTATATGGTGTATAGTAAAACTTTTATTCTAAGCCACAGATTATGACAGCCAGACCTTGTGTATGGCAGACTTTAGTTTAGTTTATAACTACTTTGGAAATAAAACAAAAATATGTTTAGTTATTGCCTGTAATAGTGTGATATTGAGTCTGAAAGTAAAAAAAAAATTGAATAAAAGTGTGTGTGTGTGCTGATCAGTGAAAAACATCAAGATACTCCCTATTTTATGCAGTCAACTCATTACAAGCAATTGTATTTGTATTCTGTATACACGTACAGCAACAACTTATGATTAGATATCACAATCAGTGTTTACTCTCTTCATACAACATGCTTGAGAAGCAATGTTTATAACTTACCAGTCTTGAACAAGTTTAACATTTGCTAATTTTTAATAAATAAACATTATAAAATACATGTCTCAGTGAATTCTCCGAATGTTTTTATTGTTTTCTAATGAAGCTTGTGGCCACAACTCCCTAGTCACTTAACAGGTACACTTTCACATGCAAGGCACAAATTGGGTAACAGAATATTCTTAAGGTCAAGTTGCTAATTATGGAAAGTAAATGGCAGCATGATGTGTAGAACTCATTGTGGTCCATTAAAATAATAATAATAAATTGGTCCATAAAAAAAACGTTTTAAAAACTACTGCTCTAAGAGTACATCAATGGTTACAAAATGTTGTTGAAAAAAACAATTTTTTTTTACATACAATTAAGAATAAATAAAATTTACTAAAACATTAAAAAATAATGAAACAAATTTATAAAATTCAGGAATGTGCAAGAAAAAATAATTTAGTACTTTTGTATTCTTTATTATTAAAGAATTTGAAAAAAAATCTGTATACTGATATAATTTTCTAAGAGAAACAACCTGGAACCAAAACTTGAATATAGATGTATATGTCTTGATCATGAACCTGTACACCACTGAAATGTAAGTACTATGCTCCAATTGAACATTTGAACAATTATACAATTATGATGTACATTTAGATGTCTAAGCTGGAAGTCAATAATGACAAAAATGTAATTTTGAATATGACACCAGACATAAAAATCAAATCTAAGAAACACTAATTATCTTTGTTATAAATCTAAATAAAGTGAATAGTTGAACTTACCTACAAAGGCAACTGCTTTCCATAGGACACTTACTCCCCCCCCCTCCCATTAATGAAACTGCTAGCATTTAAGACTAATCTTTCATTTATAATGTATCTTACAAGAATAAAGCATGAATAATACTGAAATTTTGGCTTAAATTTACCTCACATTTCCATGTCACACATCTGGAAGATCTTTTTTGTAAGGTAGCTCTTTCTACAACAGGTTCAACTTGGTTCACAAAACCTGTACTTGGTCCTAGGTAAATAATAACAAAAGATTTATTATTACTATAAACTTATATTATCCCTAGAAGTCCTATTTAAAAATAATATGTTAACCCAGCATCTGCCAGCTTTTTACTAGATAAAACATTTTTTTTTTATAGTTTAAGACAATTAGATTCAGACTTAGGTAAGTCAGTTAAATGTTAACCCAGCATCTGCCAGCTTTTTACTAGATAAAGCAATTTTTTTTTATAGTTTAAGACAATTAGATTCAGACTTAGGTAAGTCAGTTAAATCTAAATAACTGACATATGTATTGACTGCTAAGAATACATTATATATTATTTTAAAAAATGCAAATTGGTTGAAGTAAACTGTTTATTAAAAGCTTGTAGTCTATAATGCCTATTTGGATTCTAATAATTGAGACTCTGAAATTAACTATTTGATCTCCTTAATCATGATCAACGACATTAGTACAGGTATTACAAAGACAATTGGAAGCTGAAAATGTTTTTGTTGTCTAGATTATTCAAATTTAAGACTTAAAACAAACCTGTATAATTTGTGTGTTTATTTGTTGAATTTGTGAGCTATATGCACTTGCAATGCCTAATTTTGAAGTGATATACTATAGGGAAGACAGTTAGTTAACGCTATCAACCACCAACATGTGGGCTACTCTAATTGAATGGTAGGATTTAACCATTATTGTCTAATGCACCCATAGCCCCATTGTGCAGAGTGTAATTCTTGTCTGGTAGTTAAAGGGTGCAAGCTACAGAACTTGAGATACACAGTCCAGTTAATTTGTGAGATAAAGGAAGTATATAACCTCACTAAATTATACACTTATGTTGAATATTTTTACAATAAGATGGTGAAGCTAACCTGTTATGGTGACACTTGCATATGTCTGTCCATTAACAGAAAATAAGAAAATGTAGGATATATATATATATATATATATATATATATAAGTTTCATAGGTTTATCCTACACTATGTTTGCTAGCCTAATCACATGTAATGTTGGTGTAAAGCTCAGTTGGGTTTATTTTGTTTTCCATTCAAAGCTACATAATAGCTATTTGTGCTACCTGTCCCTAATTTAGCAGCGACAGACTAAAGGGAAGGCAGCTAGTCAACACCACCCACTAACAACTTTTGGACTACTCTTTTAACAACAATTAGTGGTATTGACCATCACATTATAACACTTCAATGGCTGAAAGGGCAAGCAGGTTCGAGGATTTGAACCCACAACCTTCAGACTGCAAATCGAACGCCTTAACCACCAGGCAATAAAACTCGGACATCTTTAAACCTACAAGAAAAGTTAATATTCACAGTAAATATTTTATTACTAAGATTGATTTACTTATGAAAGTGAAACTATACCAAAGTTTCTATCTAAAGAATAGCATGTGTTTAAGCAATATTGCATTAGAAACAATTACTAGACAATTTTCACTTTACTTGGCTGATTCCCATAGTTGAATGGTAACTTTTTGTTAGGCAAAACAAAACTGTAATTTAAAATCTTGGTTTACAAGTTAATGAAAAGCAGGTATTGAAAACACCAAGTTTCAATTAAAAATATGTCAGTGACCAAATGACAAATAGTATTAAATATCTTTATTGGAATGTTTAGGAAAACAGAGTAGCAAATATTTGCTCACTCTAATACCATTCAGAGAAAAAAGGTTTTACTGAATTTTAAACATTGTTGTCACAAACCTTTAATCATTACAAAATCTTTGTCCATGTTATTGATTATTAAGTTTTTAACTAAAGTCAACTTGTAAAGCCATAAAAATATTTGTAACCACTGGCCTAAATACCCATTTTTGATAATAATTTTCTTGCTTTGTAAAAGGTTTGTATGTTCTTTTATCTGCCAGATAAAAAAGTTCAAATAAAGCTTTATGGGAGTGGGTTTTTACTTGTCTGCATACAAAAAGACATAGTTTGAAATTTTCTTAAGGTCACAACAGTACTCTATCTGGAAACTTTTCAGGGGTTGAGTATTTTAATTGTTCCATGTGACATTCTAATCTGATTAGAGTAAGACTGATATCTTTTATTCTGCGTAAGTTAAAAATATTCTATGAATATAATTAGTATTATTCAGAGTATCATACACTAATATACTTGTATTTAAGTGTATTAGTGTAAGTTTTTTTGCCTATATCTATTAACTTTGTTACTTGATTATATTTCTTACATTAACAAGTTCCGACATTTGTGGATCTGAAGTTGCACCTTGGTATAACAAAGAGTGCTGTATATTAATTGTTATTTGGTTGTGCTTTACCTTTTTAAGTTTGATACTAACTGTAATGAAATCGTTTATTTACCGGAAAAATATCCTCAAAATTTAAAACTATTAAACACGCTCAAATGCTTATGCATGGGAATGGAAATGTTACAATTTTTACTCTAGTGGTAAAAATAATTTCCTTCCAAAGTGCTTACGTTACTGGATTACTTTAATAGTCATACCCTAGAGTAGAGCATGGTGATTAACTCAACAAAGTCAACAAAATCTGTTACCTATGAACATCAATTACCTTACAAGTGTCATGTAAAATAAATGATTAATCGAAATTATGATCAATTAATGTCAAAAATTATTAACTGATGTTTCCAATTTTTCCCATTTTCAGTTGTTCCAACTATCATGTACTCAAATTATAATTAGTGTTTCTGATTATTCCAACTCTCCAGTAACTGAATTACTGCCTTTATGGTTTTCCATTCGTATTTGCAATTAATTCAGATTTGTTCTGCTTAATTGATTATAGTATCATGACACAAAAATAACCAATTAATTGAAATTAAGGTTTCTGATTATTACTATTTTTGATTAATATAACTACACAAGTAACCAGATTATGTTTACTACTAAACACAAAGATACACTATGGTTATATATGCTCTGCCTACCGTGGGTATCAAAACCTGAGTTGAGCATTACTAACCAATTTACATTCAACTAATTGCTTATTCTCACAAAACTAATTTTCCTTTTTTCAGCTTATTTTTAAAAAGCATTTTCAAACTATCAGTTATTTAATACGACAGATATCTTTAGGCACAACAATGGAGGATTTAAGTTACTTTTTTTAATCCTAAACTGTATACATTATAACATATGATATACCAAAGTTCATACATTACTTTTCCAAGTGAAACCAAGGACTTTCAAACACTTTTCAGAAAGACACATTACAATATATATTTTCAAAACAAAAAAACAAACAAACATCATTTTATAATCCATGGCTATTAGAAACCAACAGGCCTGAAATTTGTGATAAAAAGTCATGACACTGTAAATGTTTTTTGTCTACATTCTTCTTGGTTTGTCCTTATGTCTTTTGGCATTTAAACAGTTACATTGGAAAATAAACTGTTTTGATACAATATGTAAAAAAGTAGTTGTGAGGGTTGAAAATTCAGATTTTAGGAAGTAATGCACCACCAACAATGCCTGCTGCATAACAACTGAACACTAAGCATATACGAGATATTTCTAAAGCTAATAAAATAAAATCACTGTAAAACATAATGTTAAAATAGAAAACAATTTTAGCAAATATACTTGATCAGGTTTAATGATTACAAAATATCTCTTAAATAAAACACAAAATTCTAGTAAAGACTTTGGAATGGACAAACCAGTATTGTGTTCTTAAAGTGATTTTTTTTCCAACGAAGTGTGGATACCATTTGAGCCAGAAACTATCATTTGCCCAATGATGCCAAACTTGAGAAATTATTTCTACAGCTCGTGTATGATTAAACATTTCAAAACAATAAAATATGTATTCACTTATCATTTACAAAAAAAACACTGTGAACTATTATATCCATAGAACAGCTATAAGAACCCAATGACAGTCTAGATGTTAAGCTATATAAGTTAGAGAACTGTATAAGTTATAAGTAGTATGTCTATATGAAATGTGTTCTGATTTCTGCAAGGACATAATAATCAAAACAATGCACATTGTTAACCAATAACAGTGTTTGTTAAAATGTCTTGCAAACCTGTCACAATTTATGACCATTAACAGATTGCCACTGAAAATATTTTTTATATTACATTTGTTTCTGCCAGTTACATTTTGCATATTTTGGTACATTAAAATTAGATCCCGATTTTTAAGAAAGTTGTGGATCTAGAAAGGCTTAAGGAAGTTTTGTTTTAACTTTGTGTCAAAGACAAGTAAACAAGACAAACTACACACAGTCTTTGAGAAGATATGCCGATCGTAAATGCAATCAAAACAAACATAACAGAACATTTCAAAATATCTGACAAAGAGAAAGGTGTCATGTTTTGCTCATGAAGTTCTTTGATAAAATCAGAATTTTCTATCAACTAATGAGCTTTATAGTGTGATATTTGATTTATGACAATGTAACATCAAGTTTGTAATTTTTATTAGTTAAGTACCTCCTTCATTCAAGTGTGGACAACCAAATCTGTAATGAGCTTTACAGTGTGATATTTGATTTATGACAATGTAACATCAAGTCTGTAATTTTTATTAGTTAAGTAACTCCTTTATTCAAGTGTGGACAACCAAATCTGTAATGAGCTTTATAGTGTGATATTTGATTTATGACAATGTAACATCAAGTCTGTAATTTTTATTAGTTAAGTACCTCCTTCATTCAAGTGTGGACAACCAAATCTGTAATGAGCTTTATAGTGTGATATTTGATTTATGACAATGTAACATCAAGTCTGTAATTTTTATTAGTAAAGTAACTCCTTTATTCAAGTGCGGACAACTATAGTTTATTGCAGACAACCATATTGGCCTGAAGTTTGTCTGCTGGACAACCAAATCTGCAAGTCTTATTTCAAACACTATATTTAAAACTATGCAGTTACTCAAATGATTTGAACCAAGTAAGAGAATCTTATATTTTCATATCAATTAAACATGGATTTATTAACATAAAAATAAGTTTGCAGGATGAAGTACCCTGTTAAAATATAAAATTTTGTTAAAGTTAATAAAACCTTATATTTTAACTCAGTGCTTCAGCCTATAATTTTCTTTTTACATTAAAGCAAAGAGAAGTGAATAATCATAATTCCTTTTATTTATTACAGAAACAGGTACTTAGACACAGTAAAAAATCTACTATTTAGGAATTTGGTTATTTGTTTGTGGTAAAGTTGTGATCAAAAAGCTAAATTCAATCAAAAAATGTCAGGCAAGTGCTATTTTAATGATGGTTGGCCAGAAGTCACATTTGCACAGAATTTTACCTTATATACACTAGAAATTTTAATAAAATTAAAAAAAATAACAGCACTGCATTTCTAAAACACAGATGTAACAAGACTTTTTGTTTAAATTACAAGTTTTTTACTTAATGAAATGTGAAAAATGTTCCAAACATTCCCTTAAGAAAAAGTTCCACATGTAAATCAAAAGCCATAGGATTGAAACCCTTCACCTAAATATTTGATCCTTCAGTCTTGGGGGCATTATAATGTGATGGTCAATCCTACAATTAGATGGTCAGCAGTTTAAAATTGGGGAAAGTGACATGCAGATTTAGTAACTCTGGCATATCAAAGACAAAGGCAAGCAAGTTTGGTGACAATATTTAAATTTTTTTGATAGTTGGAATAATCAAAAATTGCAATAATTACAAATCTAACTTAATTATTTTTGTGACAATAGATCTAATTATATTTCCAATGAATTGATTGTTGGGAAAATGAAATATATTAATTTCAATTAATCGATTAAATTGTAATTTTAATTAACAGATTAGTTTACATGACACTAATTGATGTAACTGCTGCTCATAAGTAATTGATCAAACCATCTAAACTCTAAGCCTTACCTATAAAGTAAATAATTACAACTGAGAATGCCACACTATGTCAGCAAAGATATTTGGTGAGCAAATGATCTCAGATTCACAAAATTAAGACACTGAGCTATGAGACTACACTTACACAACTAATATCTAAATTCTTAATAAAAAATAAATATAAATAACACAAAGAATAATAGGGGTTTTACTTCAAGGGATAAAATATGCCTTGGTAAAATTATAATTTTTTTTTAACTTAAGGCATTAGCTAAAGCCATGCTGAAGTAATATATGTGCTCACCAGATGCTGGTTCCACCTTAAATTCCATTTGATTTGATGCCTTTGTTTCTTCTTCTGGAAATCCTGGTTTTACTTGTTTCAACTCCTCTGTATCTACCAGCTTTTCATTTTTGGTACTTATGATGTCAACTTTTTTTAAATCCTTTCTGAAGTTATGAATACAACCACTTTTAGGTAATTCTTTAATTGGATCCATTTTCACAACTCCACTCTGAAAAAAATAAGGATTTTTAACATATGATTACAAAACAAACTATTTAATGTTAAATAGAAATTCTGTTATTGCATTTAATAACTTCAAATCAATTCTAATGTTTATGAGATTCAACAACTAAGTTTGGTGGCCAATTCACAAAACATTCAACTTCTACATTTTCAGTTTCAAATATCAACATTCCAATCAGAAAGGTTAGTACAAAAGGAAGTAGTTGAAGTAGCTAAAATGTTTTACATCATGCTTTACAATATAAGCAGACTAAATTCCATGACTATGTGTATAATTCAACATTTAGTTAGAAGGTTTTTAAACATTTATTTTGTTTTACCTTTACGAGACACATAATTAAATTGATCTTAAGACTTATTGGATTCTTTTTTTAATGAACTATTGTTCATGTCATAATAAAATTTACTAAGTCTTTATCACAAAAGTTTCATGTATATAACCAGAAGTCAGTTTTCTTCTGCTTGATTACACACCAAAAATATTAATGAATTAATTACCTCATACTTTGTTGTTGGACAAGTAAACAGTGAACATTCTTCTGCACGGAATTTTTCTTCTTCAGCTTCCACTTTCTTTGCCAAAACTTTACCTGCATCTGAAACACCAATGAAACATGAACAAAGTTTCTTAAGGTATATATGGTGCTCATGCTAGTGAAGTATGTTTTACAAACCTATAATTGACATTATATACCATATGTATTAATATCTCACAAATGAATGAAATCTCATAAAGTGCAAGTATACAAAAACTAGTTTAAAATTATCATCATATTTCAACAATGATGATTATAAATAGCGTTTTGAACAAGACTCTGTGTTGTTGTATGCCCAGCTGACCTCACAAGCTCTGGTAGTGAGTAGAAAGACCTCATCAGCAGTAGTGTAAAGTATATAAAGTGAAAGGTTGAAAATGTTAGTAATCTTCTTCATTCTTACTAGGAACCCATATAGGGAAAGTAAAGAAAGATTTGTTATAAATATGTTAAACATACCTTAAGGTGAGTATCAACGTAACCTAAATCAACCTTTAGACCAGAAAAAAAAAAATTATATATATACACACATAATTAGATGCGTGGACAATTTACAAGATAGATTAACAACAAACTAATACTCCTGCAGGTGTGTAGTATTGTGTAAATACATTGTCCAAGATGATGAAATAAAAAACTGCAATTATATGTGTGACGTACAGTAGTGTGTGAATACAATGTATAAGATGGCAAAAGAAAAAAAACAATACCCTTGCATGTTTATAGTACTGTGGATAAACGCGTGTCTATATATATATATATATACTTAA